TGGTGCACAGCTGGGAGACAGTGCCGTCCACTTTATTCCAGGTCGCCAGCACATCCTTCACACGCTGCAACTGCGCAGTCAGACGCACAGAGACCATACCGGATGATGGTTTCTCCCCTTCGGCCGTCTTCTTCTCGTACAGTGCAATCAACTCTTCCTTCCCATTCGTTTCACTTTTACCACTTCTGTAGAGCAGGGAGCTGGCGGCAGCGTCATCTTCCCCGGATACCGGCCCAATATCAACAATGTGCGTATTGTCCGTCAGCCAAAGATGGAGTACGCCCTTTCTGTTGCCTTTTTCATTAGAATAAACCGGCAGGGTAACGAGCATCACGTCCCTTTCCTCAATCCTCGCTGTGATGAGCCCGCTCCCAACGCCCTTCTTATTTCCCTTTTTGTTGCTCCACACGCGCGAGAGCGTCCCGAGCGCCTCCGTCCACGACCCCGTTAGAGTAAACTCGTACACCCTGCGGCGGCCGTCATCACACGCAGTCATCATCATGAGTTTGTCCTTCCACTCCACGACGGAGGGATCACCGCAGCCGTCGGCAGACATCTCCCTCGATACCGTCCAACCCGCAGTGTCCGAGGAGTACATAATCAGCGAAACGGCTTTCCCATCCTCTTTTTTTGTGCCTTCCAATGGAAGCAAGAGAGTATTGCCTTTTATCTTAATACCCGATCCACCACCGCCAATCAGTCGTGTCCAGGATTGCTCCTGTCTGCCGTTAGAAATCCATGGGAGATCGTAAGTATCTTTCCAAAGGATCCTTTTGTTGGTGCTGCCTTCCTCATTGTTGATGTTACCTTTTACCAGCAAGAGTCCACTTTGAGACACAGAATCTGCATTATCCTCATATGCCCAACTGTAGTTTCCAGCAAGCATGTAAATATCACTTCCCTGCACCACTGTTGTTGGTCGGCTCACATGTACCTTCTTCACTCTTTGAGTGCCAGCCAGAACTGCTGTTTGGGAGGGGCATTGTTCTCCTCCGGAAGAACGGTTCACCAGTACTTGTGTCTTCAATTTACTTTTATCCAACCCTTTTGGCTTTTCATCAGTCAGAGCCAAAAGCTCCGAGGCAATCCCAGTAAAAACGCATCCTCCGATGCCCGTGCACTGCGCCTCGGCAACAGCAAACACATCACCATTCATCTCAACAAGACTGGGAACACGGAGCGAACTCACTGCCTCCTCATTTTTTGTATCTCTCCAATGAAACAATTTCCCCGGTGAAAATCCTGAAGCTGACGGCACGTCCTTACTGGATGCAGCTCCACTAGTGCTGCAGCACATCATCACGACGAGGAGGAGCAGCACCGCAGAGTAGAAGAGATGCCGGGACATGTTGGGCCTCTGCCGCTCACTCTCTCTTCCTTCACTCCTCCTTCCGCTGGATCCGGTCACGCGGCGACGGTTGTGTGTGCAGGGTGCCTTCACTGCAGCAACAATTGAGAGCATATAAATATGTCTGTGTGGGCGGTGTGTGTGCTGTTGGTCCTTTCAGTGTCTTCGAATTTCACAGTAGCGTTTAGCGCTTGATTTTCTTCTTCGTGTGTGATTGAGAAAGTGGAGAGAAAAGATGCCAAGAAAGGGGTGAAACAGCGAGCACCGCCACCCATCCACAGTGAGTGGCACCATCATCCCCGCCGCACTCACTCCCAACAACAACAACTCACGCACACAGACACACGGAACAGGAGAAGGAGGAGCAATGCACCGGGAACACACAGCGACTCTTGCCACCACAAGCAGGAGTCACGGCGGATGCATTATTCATGAAGCGTCAGCGCACACCGAGCAACACCAACAAAAAGTAAGCAGCGGAATGCAAAAGGGCACAGCCGCCCTTCGCAGCACCGACGCGCTGCCGCCAGTCCTTTCACCGCTGTCTCCTCAAGCGCACCGACGCTGTCGCACATCGCCCGCACAGCCGGAGAATAACTCATCAACAGATCCACAGCGGGAAACAAACGTCTGCAGTTACAGCCGCCAAGCGGGAATCAATCTTCACTCGCCCACGGCACCCTCAACACCACCCACCGGCTGCACGCCGCAAACACCACACCCTCCACACGTCGACGAAAGAATTCTCGGGCTGACAACCTCCCTCCTAGCAGGGCCGCCGCAGCCACAATCCTGGGTGTGCGTGCACTCTCAGCGTTCACACCGCTCCACAGCGTCTGCAACATATCGTGTGTGCGTGTGTGTGCATGTGCATGTGTGTTTGGCAGCGCCCATACTTGCAGAGCAGCTGTGCGCCACAAGAGAGTCTGAAGAAAGCAACGGCAGAGAGAGGCAGATAGCACACACGCAAATTACTCATATCATCACACACACACACACACGCAGCCGCGGAATGGGTGCACTCAACCACAAAATCAAAAAGGAAAACAAAACAAAAAGCCGAAGCGTGGGATGACCAGCGCACACACTCTCATTACTCCCGTAAAGCAAAACACACACACAGAGGGAGAGAGAGAGAGGTCGCCCACTCAATGCAATAAAAACAAAACAGAAACAGTTACGGTGCTCCGCCCATGCAGCCAGGCAGGACGGCAGCGGTGCGTGTCGTGCAAAAGAGAGCACCAACGGGCCTGCATGGGTGTGCATGCATATATACAATGGGCACATTATTGTGCGTGCTTCGTGGGGTGAGGTGAGGGCGAGAGTCCATGCAAGGGGACACACACACAGAGAGAGAAGGAAGAGTGTGTGTGCGGGCGGTGCATGGCTCTCTCTCCCTCACTCTCACGCGGCCACCACCGCAGCCGCAGCAGCACGCGCAACAACAAGAAGAAGAAGCAAAAGAGGGGAGGTGGAGTGGGAGACCGCGGTGCTGCTGTCACCGTCGCCAGCCTTTTCTTTACCGCCATTTTGTCGTTTTTCTGTCTGTGCAGTATCGGAAGGTCGAGAATTCTCCACATTTGTTGTTTCGGTGGATGTTTCTTCCTGAAGTGGGGAAAAACTTTCATTTGAAGATGTCGTTGCTGCTTGTTCTTGACTGCCAGTTGATATACTCTCCGCTGTTCCTGAAGCGGATACAGGATCTTCGTTATTTCGTCCTTGTTTTGCGGGTGAATCCGTGGATGCACTCGTGTTCTGGCTGCGATTCTTCCCTTCTTCTGAAGTTGTTGTTTGATGTTCAGTTTTGGGTTCCGGCAGTTTTGCGTCTGATAATTCCGGTGATGCCTTTCCTTTGCCTTGTAATTCCGTATTTGGACCCTCTGGTGACGGCTTCGGTGCTGCGCCTGGCGCAGTGAGGGACTCTGATTTTACCTTATTTGATGATTCCTTACTTGCCAGATTGTCGGGCAACGCAATCACTGAGTTATCGGGATTTTTTGTCTGTGCTCCATTGACGGGTGTATCTGCTGCCTTTCCTTTGGGCGACGAGAGACTCTGATTCTCTGTTCCATCTCTCCGCAAAACTTCCGTTTGGGATGCATTTTGCGGGCGGGATAAAAGATTGCCACTGGTCACCGTGCCAGCACCAGGGTGATGTGGCGAACCACCACCAGGAGAAACAGACCCCGAAGAATTACCTCCGCCACCGGAAGCAGGGGCTCCGGCTGCACCATCTTTTCCACCATCTTTTCCACCAGGATTTACACCGCCTCCTCCACCACTTCCTCCCTTGGAAGGACCATCTTCTTCACCTGAAACTTCAGCAACGATGATGGGCAACACAGAACGCAATGACAGCATGAGCGCAGTTCTATCACATCCGTTAGGCATGTGGGATCCATTTTCACCCAACACTTCCGACGCCATGCAGCCACCCACTGCGTTGTTGTCAAGCCCCTTCGCGTAAATGCCACAGCACGCACCACAGCACGCAGAGGGCACACACCAGCAGCACACGGCCAGTCCTCATCATCGCCATCACTCCTGTCACTTGCGTGCAGCCTTCAGCACAAACTAACTCCCCGTCAACGCAGAGTGAAGGAAAAAAGGAGAGGCACGGCTGCTACACCACGCACAGTGACCGCACAGTCACAAATGGCAATGCACACACCATGAGGTAGATGGAATCAGTACAATTGCAGAACTCATACACCGCCCTGCAAACCACATGTGTAAAATGCAGTAGAAAAGAACAGCAACAGAGTTGAGAGTCCGGCATGACTCAATATATATATATATATAATAATAATAATCGATCAGGCACAAATTTTATTTTATTTGCCAAGCAGCAAAATGTAAACGACCACTGGTTTGTGTTTACGTAATGCCTGGACTGAATAAAGCAAGAAAAAAGATAGTACTTTTCCACAAGCCCACACAAATCTCCTCACACTTCATTGCGGCATCCGGCCTGTTCCTCCAATCCTCCATTCGTGCAGTCCGTGGTACGCACAGCCGCAGGGTCGGCACCGCGTTTGGGCAAGAGAAGGAAAAAAGACAAAAAGGAAAAGCACGTCACGCATGACAAAGTACTGCAAAAGAGCATTGGGGAAAAACACAGGGATGCTGATTATTGCAATAGGGCAAAAGCAGCGAAAATAAATAAATAAATAAAATAAAAAAACTTAAATTATTGACAAAACTCAGTGGATAATGCTGGCAAGCTGCACAGTTATTGCTCCAAGAAAAGCCGCAATTCCACCCTCCCTCACACTTCAGCAGAGCGCCGCAGTGCCCCACAGCCCCAGAATCAAAAGCAACATCACCCGAGACACACACCCATGCACGGCGATGTCACGAATTTCAGCCATGGACAAAAAATCCGTGAAATGCCCGTGCTCACAAAAACCGTTGCTCACAAGTGATGCTGCGTCGTGCTCCGATGGGATCTCTGATTTTCCAGAAGTTGTGCGCAAATAATCCTGTGCGGCATCACCGCCACCCGACACGTTATCACTCGTTCAACAATTGCTAGGGCTGTGCTGGGCCCAGGCGTGGCTGTTGTACCATCCAAGGGCATTAGATCACTGTTGCTGAGTGAATCGGGGTCGCTGCCCGTGCCCACGGCAGTGCGGGCATACGTGTCCTATTAATGGCCAACGTCTTGTTATTCGCTCGCAAGTGTGTTGGCGGTGGACGGCACGTTGTCTCTCGCTGCGCGTGCGTCTGGATCAGCTGCACTGCCACTTTACTCCCCGGACAGCGGAGCTCCCTGTGGGACCTCACCGCACAGCTGCTGGCAGCCCTGCATGCTCCTGCCGAGCGGAGTGTCCTGCCACTGAGCATGGCCACAGATACTTCCCAGTTCCCCGCCTGGCAGCAGCATCCCAATCGCCCACACGAGTTCCTGCCGCCACAGACTCCCTCTCGGCGATGGAGGCGCTCCTCTTTGGCCCACTGGCGGTGCACGACAACGGCGTCACCGAAGAGATTTGTACCGTGCCGCTTTCGCTGGCGGATTGAGGTCACACGGCTGAATCCACATTTCCCCATGACACTGCGGAATCCCACGCAGCGTGACAGCGAACGCGGACACCGTCATGGCACGATCTCTCCCGCAGGACTGCGTCACTGCCTGGCACGTGGGCTTCCTTACCGCCGTCAAGAGGTTATAATGGAAGGATGCCCAGGAGGAAAGGGAAGGCGCGTACACCGCGTGACAGGCGCCTGTCGGCGTGGTGAGGACTGTCTTCCTGGTGCTGACCCGGACATCGTGCCCCGAGTGGCGGCACTGCGCACGGGCGCGATGCAACACCTTCCCACTCTTCGACAGGCCTGCACGCGCCCTGCGGATCACAAGGGTGCTGCAGTCGGCGGATCGTTTTCGAGCGGCTGCTGCACCACACGTTGTGGCCCAAATTTTTGTTTCGAATTATGAATGGTGGGAGTCAGAGACACTCTCTGTCACTATCTGTTTGCGTGTTCACACACTGGACACCAAACAACCCGGAACTATCCGCTGCTTGGAGGAATGTCGCGAGATCTTGCCCACAGGGGTGCTGCACTCGGCGGATCGTTTTCGAGCGGCTGCTGCACCACACGCTGTGGTCTAAATTTTTGTTTTGAATTATGAATGGTGGTGGTCAGAGACACTCTCTGTCAATGTCTGTTTGCGTGTTCACACACTGGACACCAAACAACCCGGAACTATCCGCTGCTTGGAGGAATTTCGCGAGATCCTGCCCACAGGGGTGCTGCAGTCGGCGGATCGTTTTCGAGTGGCTGCTGCACCACACGTTGTGGTCTAAATTTTTGTTTCGAATTATGAATGGTGGTGGTCAGAGGCACTCTCTGTCACTATCTGTTTGCGTGTTTACACACTGAACGCCAAACAACCCGGAACTATCCGCTGCTTGGAGGAGTTTCGCGAGCTCTTGCCCACAACGGTGCTGCACTCGGATAATCGTTTTCGAGCGGCTGCTGCACCACACGCTGTGGTCTAAATTTTTGTTTCGAATTATGAACGGTGGTGGTCAGAGACACTCTCTTTCAATGTCAGTTTGCGTGTTCACACACTGGACACCAAACAACCCGGAACTATCCGCTGCTTGGAGGAATGTCGCGAGATCTTGCCCACATGGGTGCTGCAGTCGGCGGATCGTTTTCGAGGGGCTGCTGCACCACACGCTGTGGCCCAATTTTTTGTAGGAGGTTGTGAAAAGAATGATCGCGGGAGAGCTGGCTAGCTTAATTAATGTATGTATATATCCTGATAAATGAATACATTCTTTATGATACTTTCTACCGTATGAATCTTTTGGGAAGAACGCGATGTGTAGGGGCAGGGAACCGATAGAGGCCGGATAATATTTTTAATTTTATTTTTTACAGACACACAGCCAGGTATGTTTACAGACATGTCGTTGGTTCCCTACACACCCTCCGAGTGGTGTGATATTGGCTCCCGTCTCTAGGACATGGTGTGCCAATGTGGCGAGACCCAGGTACAGATGACGTTTATTAATGGCAACCAGATGTCGGACGAGACGTTAACTGTGGCCGCATCACCCACAGGCTTATGCTTGTTCCATGGACCTGTCTCTAAAGCTTGGCAGGGTTCTACTCTCATTGGACATATTGCGGATCTACGGGCGCCTCAGATCCCTAATTTTGAGACACAAGCGCTCCTGCCCGCTATGGGGGCAGCCCGGGAGTTGGGGCACCAACAAGGGCTCATCACTGCTGAAAGGGAACGCCTGAATATTGATTACGCAAACGCCGTCGCGGACGTGCAGAATCGGAATGCTCGGCTTAACTCGCAGTTTCAGGAGGCGCATTACAACCTATTGGTAAGGGAATCCAATATTGCCGGGGCCGGCAACCAGGTCCCAGAACTACAACAGCAGTTGGAGGCCGCACGCGCCAAATTACGGGAGCGCGAATTCAACTTGGGAGTCCTCAATGCTCAACTCCAGGAACGGGAGGCACGCCATAATGCACAACAACCCGCGCGGGATGCGGAGACGGCGGGGCGGGGCAAGTCCCCCGCTACTCGACACGTTTTCAACGATGGCGTAACCACACTACCGCATCAGACGAATATCTTGATGGCTGGAGGCGTGCCTAGCAGCGCGGCCCGACGCAGTTCGGCGGCTTACAGGCACCCTCACGGCAATGTTGGGAGACCACATTTCCACCCTTCCACGCCGTTGCCTTCCCGCACTTCTCCCCTGGACGCCCAATTACCCATGGAAGAGGGCCGCGGTTTCTGCGCATTCGACATCACCACGTGGCCCTCGCGTGTATGGAATGAGGGCGCCTCCGGAGTCGTTATCGACCTCCGGTGCGCATACCAATGCTGGCAACAGGAAAACGAGCAGGTTAAACTTGCCTTTGACAATTTGGTCGAGTGGATCGGCGTACTGGAAGGCGGGCAGGATCCCACCGATCGCTTCATGATTTTGGCAGGTCCCTACGGAATACATTCCGGATGCAGCTCACGATTGCATCCGATCCCGGTATCCGGCTTTCCAAACTGCGCGCCCGTCCTTACACTGCTGTTCACCAGACGGACGCTTATGCGGGGGCAGCTCAGCCTCTCGTCGATCGGCGAGAAACCCAACGCACTTTGCGATGCCAACAATGTCATACCTATGGACACGATCCGTCTACGTGCAAAGTGCGCCCGAGAGGGAATTAATTACATTATAGGCGTCCATCAAAAAACGGCAGAGGGGCTGCCGCACGCCGCTCATGAATGCTGACGACGGGAGCGCCATCGAATCCGCCACCTCCCACCAATCCGCACAGGCAGCGCACCGCTCCGCCGACGCTCCATCCGATCTTTCAAATTGCCCGACACAATCGTCGAGAAGGGCAATGGAGCTTATCTGCCAACGACGCTCGACTGCGGTACGACGAAACACCGGCGGTTCCGCTTTGGGCCAGTTATATGAGGAGAGCGAACGAGGTGGCTCGAGAGATGTGCGCGCCGTCAACGTGGGAGCGTGGAATGTCCCTCGCGGGGCAATTCACAACCTTTTGCCGCACGCACGAACAGCCGACGAACGAGGAGAGCTGTGCGGTCTTTTTGATGTCAATCGAAGTGGCGCCATCGACCCGACTGCAGTACGCCAGGATGCTGCGGTCCATGTTGGAAATGAATCCAACCCCGCTGGACATGATGATTCTGGGGTTGCAAAAAGTTGCGGCGCGATCGGTGGTGAAGCAGGCGCGCCCCTTGAAAGAGGAAGAGATGAATCAAGTTATCCGCAGCCGGACCGATTGGAAGGAACGTGTTGTCGTACGACTTGCGTGTATAACAGCGAGTCGTTGGTCCGGAATTGCGGCATTGACACCCAACAATCTTAAACTGAAGCCGGACGGGGTCATAATTTTGGATTGTTCCGTGGCTCAAAAAGCGGTGGGGCGGGTTCCCGCCGCGCCCCGCTGTCCGACAGGATACGAGGGCAGGACGCGTTCGACACTATAAATCTACGCGGGACACTCCGTCGCAGCGTAAGGCTCACGAATATTACTAATGCCAAAGTCGAACGAGCTTTGGCTCCTTGGGATGCCACGGCGCATTCCATAAAACGCGGTGCGTTGAGGCACGCTGCGCCAATCGTGGAGACACTCAATTTGAACCCACACGTGATCCCGCAGTTGGCGAAGCACGTCGACCCGTTCGAACTTCCGAAGAATACTGTTTGATATTTGTGGATGTACACCACAATGCTGACCCAGGTGTCGTCGCTGGTCGCATTGATGTGAAGGGAGAAACGGCGGAAGGGCAGGAACCCTGGCTGAGAGCGGAGGAGCGTTTTTTCCATGATTTTTATCACAATCATGCTGCTACAATAACGAGACGCGCGACAAGGACGCGTCTGGCCACTCCACAAGATGAACACGCTATCCCGCTACAGCAGGTCAACGCGCCCGTATTGAACCTAGAGTGGATTAAAAGTCGGTTGAATCCGGCCACCTTGGAGAGGCTCATGCAAGTTTGGGGACTCTTCGGGCGGTCCCCTTTAACTTTATCCTCCGGTAAAGCGCGCGAAGGCTCACGGAGGATTCCGGTTGCTGATGCGCATTTGTTACGAAAAGCGGGAATAATCGAGGACGGTTCGTCCACAATAACAGGCGGATGGGTAATACCTTTCTCAGTTGTGGAGGAGAAAACCACCGGCTTACGACGACGATGGATCGCGTGGCCACGCGACAAGTACAGAGACGACCCTTACGAGGCTAACGCTCCTCTTTTACACATTTCTAATTATTTGCCGCCTGTGATGGCTGAGGCCGCTTCCTGCCTGGATGTAAAGTCGTCCTTCATAGTCTCTTTACCGCTGGGGACTCGGCATCTCTTTCGATGCCACGTGGAGGACGGCACGCTGGTGGAGCTGACACGTCTCCCAATGGGATACAAGGCCAGCCCAGAAATTCTCCAGATTATTATTACTTCAGCAATTGCGGGGGTGACGACGGTGGCTCACCGCCTCCGGGCCGCACCTCCATCGGTGCACGACGACGTATGGATCGGTAATATACGCATTGCAGGGTCGAAAAGCGATGCGACATTGTGGGAAGCCCAAGTGCTTCGTAATGCGGACGGTTGTCACGCATCCATGGGGGAAGAACGCGAATCGGGCGCTACGCATTACACCTTCCTGGGGGTGCGGTTTGATCATGGCAACACCGTGCGGTATCCCTGAGTGACACGTTTGTCCTGTTTGTATGCGCCATGCCGGCACCCAATTCTTTAACCATCGCGGAAATGGAGGTTACGGCGTCACGTTTTTTGTACGCGGCTGCCATTTTTTGCACGCGTTTATGTGACCACTACTTTTTTATCAAGGCAGTGCGACGACAATTATCCGCAGTTAACCGGGGAATTGTGCTGGAGACATCCCCGGCGAACGTTCCGTCGGCAGCGGTTGGTTTGGGCGAGAGGTTGCGACACACCATCGAGAACAATCGCAAGCGAATCATCAAGCCCACCGAGGAAGCATCGGCTACCATCATCACGGACGCATCGCTTCATTGTTGGGGAGCCGTTTTCATTCCAGACCCCGGCGACGTTAAAATTGCCGGGGGAAATGGGGGAAGAGTAAGCCTTTTCTTATCACGCAGGCCGAGGCGCGAGCGGTACGCCTAGCCTCATCGGCTTTTTCCGCCATCTTGCCATCCACTATGGACGTTTGGGTGGACAACACTTTGCTGCGAGGAGCGGCGAATAAAGGCAGCTCGAAATCACACGCCATGACGTGGGAGCTGAAACGGATATATGAGTTTTTGGACTCTCGCGGAGTAAAGGCATCCTTTGCATACGTGCGGTCTGCAGAAAACCCCGCAGACGGCATGTCACGCGGTCGTGTTTTTACACTTCAGGAATTGGCGAAGGGTGGAACTTGCGAAGGGGAGCGGCGGGGTCTTGTG